CTACCGGCTTTTGATTGTGACTCAGGTGATTTTTTGTATCACATGTTTCGATCAAGACACCAGATACCTCACATATTACCTAGGCCCTTTTAGTACATCTCACTAGAAACACGCAACCCAGGATTCGGCATCAGCACTTCCACCTGCACCTTCCTTTGTGTGAAATTGGTGTGTTCACCATCTTCATCTGGTGTGAGGCGTGGGCTAAGGCAGGCAAATATATGTTGCGCTGTTGTAACATGGTTTACGCCTGGGATCGAAAGTGGTTTGGGTGGGTGACTTTGTTGGGAAGCAGCTGGCTCGCCGCCCGGCTTGAGCTCCCAGGTGGGCATTTGGATCCATCAGATGGCTTTTCAAGTCATCTGCCCCCACACAACATGGTTGTTGTTGGGAAATATTTTGCATTTTTGCTGGCTGTGGTTCAGTGGTTGAAATCCAACCACTTTTCTGCTACAACTTATGTTTTTTGCTCCCCTTCCAACGCCCACCAAGACAAGCAGACATGGAGAAGCATCGGCCGAGGCCATCAGCGCCTGCAGCAGATGGCCCACAGCTCTGGAGCTGCTGTCTTGCATGCGCCTTTGGGCCGTGCAGAGGCGGGGTGGGGAGGTGGGGAGGTGGGGAGGTGGGGAGGTGGGGAGGTGGGGAGGTGGGGAGGTGGGGAGGTGGGGAGGTGGGGAGGTGGGGGGGTGGGGAGGTGGGGAGGTGGGGGGGTGGGGAGGTGGGGGGGTGGGGAGGTGGGGAGGGAGGTGGGGGGGTGGGGAGGGAGGGGGTGGGGAGGTGGGGGGGGTGGGGAGGTGGGGAGGTGGGGGGGTGGGGGAGGTGGGTGGGAGGTGGGGGGGAGGTGGGGGTGGTGGGAGGTGGGGGAGGTGGGGAGGGTGGGGAGGTGGGGAGGTGGGGAGGTGGGGAGGTGGGGAGGTGGAGGGGAGGTGGGGAGGAGGTGGGGAGGTGGGAGGAGGTGGGGAGGTGGGGGGAGGTGGGGAGGTGGGGAGGTGGGGAGGAGGTGGGGAGGTGGGGAGGAGGTGGGGAGGTGGGGAGGAGGTGGGGAGGTGGGGAGGAGGTGGGGAGGTGGGGAGGAGGTGGGGAGGTGGGGAGGAGGTGGGGAGGTGGGGAGGTGGGGAGGTGGGGGGTGGGGGGGTGGGGAGGTGGGGGGGTGGGGAGGTGGGGAGGTGGGGAGGTGGGGAGGTGGGGGGGTGGGGAGGTGGGGAGGTGTGGGGAGGTGGGGAGGTGTGGGGAGGTGGGAGGAGGGGAGGAGGGGAGGAGGGGAGGGCTGGGCCTGTGTTGAGCACATGCCGCTGGGAAGCCGAGCTTCGGTCACTTGGCGCATCTTTGCGCTGGCGCGGCGGTGAAATGTGATGAGACTGGGCCAAGGACGGTGGTCAGCTGCAATGCTGCCATGGGCTCTGCAAAGTGCTGGCAGAGGTCCGTGGGGATTATGGCCAGCCTGCAGGCCGGGGGTGGGGGAGGGAGGGAGCGGGCCAGCGCAGTTGGAAGCCGAGAAAAGCGCGTGGCTTTGGGGCGTCTTGAAGTTGCAGGGTCTCCAGCGGATGGTGCTGGGTTTCGGGAAGCATGGTGAGAAGTTATCCACATTTGGTCGACCTGCTGGAGGTCGAACCAACTTGCCCCGAACATTATGCAATGCAGTGGCATACCTTGGTATAGCTCACACGCTCAAGAAGCTCTCATGGATTGCCCGACGCTACCAAATCATCGCGGCCGAAAATGAGGTTGTACGAAGGTGAGGTTGTTTGGCTGGCACTCCTTGCGTTGACCAGTGAGCTTGGCACTGCTTGACAGCCAAGGGGCATCAGGCTTCATGCCCTTGCTCACGGGTTTCTGGCCGGGTCAGGCGTCAGGCATACCTTTCGACCCTGGCCGCGGTTTCTGACAGTCCCTTCGAGGGTCTGTCCCATTTTGGTGCCCATCCGCCCGCCTTCCATTCCTGACTATGTTGGCGTCCTGCGCGCGTTCGCCAGGCCCAGCTCCAAGTGGACGCAGTCTCCTACAAGGCGGCAGCGGGCGTCAATCCTTGGGAGCGCGGGCTGTGCTACCTGCGGGCCATGACGGACGAGGGGATCAGAGCCTCGGACAAGAAGCGTGGTGGCTTGGTTTTTGGGGGCCTCTGGTTTGATCGCTGCTGGTTGGCCATTTGCAACCAGCAACTGTTTGATTGCTGGGGAGGGACTCCCGCCCCGGGTAATTTGCAACCAGCTGTCGATTTTGTGGTGCCTGGTTGCAACATGGCTGGTACCAACCTGCTCCAGTCATGCGGATTGCTCCCTTCTTTTAGTAGCATTGCCCTGCAAGTCTGCAAGGAACTCTGCCTTGCTGCAATTCCCTGATGTCCAAAAGTCCAGCTCTCCGACTTTCGGGCTTCGGGGGGTTGGAATGCACGGATCCCCGAGGGGCAGACGCGGTGGCCCAGGGCATTGCGGTGAACCTACAGCTGCCGGGCTCACAATGGGGGCCAGGGAAGATGTTTGCCTTTTGGAAAGCCAAAGGACGCCATCCGTTCCTCGCCCTTCCGGGATTCCCCACTTTGGGGAACGCTCGGTCAGCAAAGTGGGGGCTTTGCCCCTACGAGCAGGAGGCGTGGATATCAGAGCCTTCTCTCTGTCCTTTTGCTGTGCGGTTTCGAACCTGGCAAGGGGTGGTGGGGGGTGGGCGAGTCGTAGCACTTTGCCCAGAGCCCCACCCCACGGATCTTTTCGCCCTCGGGCCCTCGGGGGTGCCAAGGGCACGAAGGGGCCGCTGGGACTGCTGCCTGGCGCTGGCGCTGGATGCCAAGGGCATCTGCGCCGCCATGGGCGCAGGCGATGAGTGGCCCAAAGCGCCGCGCCGAGAGTTTCGGTGTGACGTTTTCGCCTGGAAGTTTCGGTTTGCTTACGATGTTGTCTTGTTTTCCCCTGTTGGTTTGAACAGGAATCGATCACTACTGTTTTGGGTCTGTCTTTTTGAGTTGGTGTCCCCTAAAATTACGGCCGCATAGACCCCAAATTTTAGCATCGGAGATTATCACAGTGCTCGAACCAGCACCCTGCCTGCACGCCAAGCAAGCACCACCAGCGGAAACATCAAAAAACACCTTCGCGCCAAACAGCACCTTGACCACCACCCACAACAGCACCCTGACTGCGTCGCAAATATGCGCTGCGAGCAACAACCACTTTTGAGTGCACCCCTGCAGCACTACCCTGCCTCTCTTTAGAAGCAAGAACCTCCTATAGCTTTCAACCATTTGGGGAGCGGTGCTTTTTCAGTGGAAGGGGCGGTTGTGGCGGGTTCTCGGATGATTTGACGAGGTGCAATTGTCAATGCTGATTCTCTGTGTTTTAGGGGGTGAGCCTCCGGCGAGTCAGCCGAGGCTATTTTTGCCAGAGACTAGCAAAGTCGCAGTGGAAAGCACAGGAGCTGACATCAGATGACAAGCCAAGGATTTCCCCCATTTGTCCACAACTTGTGCGCTGAATGGTTGCCTCCGAACGGCCAAACCCCCTGAGCTCAAGCCAAAACAAGGGCATGGACTTCCCCTCCCGGCATCCTCCCTTGCGTAGTCCACAATATCCAACTGTCCCGAAAAGAATGCCAACAAGAAAAAGGGAGCATATCATTTTGTTTCTTCTCCAGATCCCCCCCCCCCCATTTTTCCAAAGCCCCGCGCCAAACGTTTGGCTCCGGCGCCCAGGCCTTGGCCCTCTTCGCCCGCGGGCTTTGGCGCGGCCCGCCGGACCTGGCGCTCTGGAACCGCGCGGCGCGGATCGCCCCGTGGCGGAGCGCCTGTCGGCTGCTGGAGCAGCTGGCCCCACGCCGGCTCCAGGCGGGCGCGGGGCGGTCCGGGCCTTGTTGGGTGCCACATGGGGACAGGGCACCTCAGTCTGTGTGTGTTTTTTTTTTTTTTTAATGAGTTGGTAGCTTCTTTCTTTCTCTTTTTTTTTGGTCGGATGAAAGGGACGCTTTTTGGATCACTGGTTGGCCATTTTGGGGTTTGGGAGGGTGCCGCAAAACAGACACCTACGTTGGGCCAGTGTAGCTCTCATCTTGGGCAGTTGGCTCACAGGATCCCCTTGTTAAAGTGTGGTGGTTTTGTATTTTGGATGTCTCTTTGAAGGCGCATCCTATGAAAGCGGTTCCATTTTGAGGGGTCTCAACAAGACACACTTTGGGACTTTGGGGTCCCAGTTTTCCCTTAGGAGCGTCCTTTCAGGTTTCAGTTTGGTTACATTGGATTCCACTGGCTTCAGTGGCTGTCTATAGGCCGAAGGATTTGAGGGACTTTGAAGCCGCAGCCAAGCTGCAAGGCTCCCCGGCTCCTGTTTCAGAGTATCCAACGCGATGAAGCCTTTAAATGCTGCGCAAGGCTTTGACTGGGCTTGCAGCACCTGAAAACATGATCACCCCTACAATTGGCTGTTCCCTTCCCAGAAGTGTCAACTTGTCAGCCAATGTCGGCGAAGGTTTCGGCCGCCAGGCGGACCTGGTGTCCCACAACTCGGCCCTGGCGGCTCTGCTCAGCGAGCGCGAGGGCCGCTGGGCGCAGGGCCTGGCGGCGGTGGAGCTTTCTGTTGGCCGAGGCCTGCGGCCAACGCAGGTGACCTGGGGGAGCCTGCTGGGCCAAAGCCGGCAGATGCCCTGGGAGGCCGGCCGGCTGCCGGCTGGGCGCCGGAGTTGGCCTTAAATGGTTTGCCCACTGCTTCTGGAAGGGGGTGGGGCAGAACGGAATTTGGGAGAGAAGGGGGGGAGGCGGTCAATGCAAATGTGGAAACGCGAGAAAAACACAACCACCAAATCGCATCAGGTGAGCCAAGCGCACCTGGGCATGTGCCAAGTCCATTTTTGCGTTTTCTGCTGCGAAGAGGCGGCGCTGCAGATGCTGACCCAGTGCCAGTCCCAGTGCCCCGGCAACGGCAAAGGGCCGAGGAATCGGGGCGTCGTTTGGGCCAAGGGTCGGTCTGTTTGTTGGATATGACCCCTAAAGATGTTTTCGTCGTTTGTTGGAGGGTACCCATTTTGTGGAAAACATCTCCCATCTGGAGGCATTTGGGGGCCGGGGTGATGTTGGACAATGCCATGCGGCGAACCTTGAAGTTCGGCGCTCGGCGGAGGAGTTTGGTCAGGATGCTCTGGATTCCCTTCGCCATGGCCTTTGTGGCAGCGCTGCCTTCCTCTAGGTCGTTCAGTTGACATACGTGTTAGTTTCAGGGCATGCGCAGGGTTTGCTTCAACATTCGGAGGGCGAGAACCGCGAACGAGGGTGCTACTTTGCTGCTTCACTGAGCGGAAATAAGTGCACCGACAGCCTGTTGAATTGCCTCCTTTCGCTTTGGCAGCTTTTGGCCCACTTGAGCTGCTTGGGACGGTGAGCGAGCCTTTAGACGGCTTGCCTTCAAGTCAGGGTTATTGTTTCCGTCTTGCGTCTTTGATTGCATTTTGCCGGTTGAGCGTTTTGCCGTTTTGTTTTTTGTTTTTAACGAGGGAATCTCGCAGTCAAGCCGGCAGGAACAAAGCGAATGTGATGAGATCCATCCTTTGGGAGCGAAGAGGGTCCGGCCGAGGCACCTCCGCAGCTCCATCTCGGAGTCCAACGTGCTGGCGGCATGCAGCGACGGCCCCTCGTTCCGAAACGGCCGGAGCTGGATCTTCTCCCCACGGGGGGCTGCTGGGAACTGGGAACCCAGATGCGTGGGATTTCTCGAACTCCAGGGTTAAGTACCAAAGAATGGCGCGGGTTCACTTCGTGTCAAAGGCCATCTTCATCCCTTGTCCTGCGCGGTTCCCCACTCACTCGCAGAAGAACGTAGCCCTTGTGGAGTCCCCGCGTGCCAAACGTCAGCAATCGCCGCCCCACCCCCCCTCATTGTAGGGCGGTTCTTTCTGAATCAGCCAAGGCTTTGTTTCTCGTATGTTTGAACATCCCATCCGGTTCTCGAGGGTTGGTTTTCAAGATGCATCGCAGCAATCCGGCTTGAATCAAAGCGGCGCGGTGCTCGCAGCGTCGGTCATTTTGGGGTACTTTGTTCTTGCTTGCATGTGGTGAGGTGTGTAGTTTAATAGGGTGTGCTTCTTACTGCCGTGTATCCGCAGGTAAAACGACGATTTATTTCTTGCTTTCTGGATCCGTCGCCCGCCGTTTGTGCCGGAGATGGGTGGAGGAACCTTGTGGCACTTCGCGCATGTGGGAGAGAAACTGGGATCTCTCCATTGAGCTCATTTTAACGTTTTGAGGTGAACATGGACCAGATTCAAACAGAAGCTGAGGTAGACCAGGTAGATTGACTGAGAGCCGCACGCTGGCGGAAAGGGACCCTGCTGTCCAACATCCCTTCCGGTCCCCATTAGGCGCCCAAGATTAACCACATCAAGCTACCCGCCCGTGTCTTTCTTTTTCCGCCACAAAGTTTGAGCGCTTCCTGAAATTGGAACCCTTTTAGTTTGATTCCACGCTTCTTTCACCACAGCCAGAAAGGAGGGTCGGGTTCCACCGCGTATTGGATGCGATGCCTGTGGCAGAGGCAGTTCCTGGGGTGCAGCTTTGGACCTGCTGCGGGCCGTGCAGATCTCGGGGCCCGCCAAAGCAGAGGCGGAGGTGGTGGCGGCGACGTGGCCCGGCCTATGCATTCAGAGCTTCAGGTTGGTCACCTGTGAGAATTCCTTGGGTCGTGTAAAGGGCTATGTTACATGGATGGGAGCAGCTCCCTGTCATGTGGCAAGGCTGAGGCGCAACTACAGTACCCAGTTTTTCTCTTCAGCTCCGAGACACTGGCCCAAAGTTGGTTGGGTGCTGTTCTGCAGGCCCCCATCCACACCCCTCAGGCTTGCACGGAGGTTACCGGCCATGCCTTTGAAGGGGGGCTGGGGTCCCGGCGGTGGGTTTTTCCCAGCGGCGTGCGCCTTCGCGCGTGCGCCCCGAAGGCAGGCCTTGGTGGCCTACGGCCACGTGCAGCACTGGCAGCGGGCCTTGGGTGTGGCAAGGAAGCTGCACCCCGGCTTGCGCGCGGGGCAGAGTGCCGTGCTGGCTGGCTGGTTGGTCAAAAAGTGTGGCGCTTTTGGACTGCTTTTCTGCGTGTTCCACTTGCTTCCATTCTTGCTCGTTAGGAATTCGTGTTTGCAGGGCCCTTGTCCTATGCAAACGCGCAGGTGCTTGCGTTTTTGGCCCTTTGTGAGTGTTCTTTTTTCCCGTCATGACATGGTTCTGCCAATGTCAGCCACCTCTGCTATGACAGCTATGCCTCATATACTGTATTTGTGTGGACTCTGGGCCTGAAAGGCCCGAACTTGGAATGAGAGAGTGCTGCTCACGGCCATGCGTTGCCTCCATGAACCCTAAAAAAAATCCCGACCCATGCGCTACCACCAGGAGAAAAACAATAAAAAAGAAAAGAAAAGATCGCACCTCCCACATTTCTTTTTCTTCGTTTCCTCGTGGGAGTCCATTTCCCTTCCCTCCCATTTCCTCTAGTTCCCTCCCCCCTCCCCAGTTTCTTTTTGTGGGTGGCACGTGGCTATGGCCTTCCAGCGCTTGGGCTTGAGGCTTGGGAAGGCGGACGCGGCGCTGCTCAGCGCGCTGGTGGCCGCGTGCGCGGCGGCGGCGCGCTGGCAGCAGGCGCCGGGCTGCGGGCAACCCTCAAAAAGGTGGCTTGGATACCGCCAATCCAACCCACCAACTAGAGGGAGCTGATTTTCATTGGGTTGACAAGGAGACTTAGTAAACCATCTTGGGGTCCAAATGAGTAAATGAGGTTCCACTCACCAGCCATGATGTTGCCAGAGATTTCCTTGCATCTTCCACTGCCAGCAAGGGACAAGGGCCTGTTATTTTGGACCATCACCGCTGCATTTTTTGGGGCAGCTTGGTCATCAAGTCCTTCAATCAGCAAGGATGCATGCCGACAGAGCTGTGACCAGCATCAAAGTTGCTGCACGAAGCCTTTCGCACGACACAGCCGATGCACTCAGCAGGTTGCTGATGGCCATAAGAATGATGTCAGGTTAGACCAGGGCTAAGCATTTTGTGTCACAAGGCCCTGTGATTTTAGACTATCACCGCTGCATTTTTTCAGGTTAGACCAAGGCGTTTTGTGTCAGGCGCTCCAGATCTTTGCGTCGCTGTCCTCGTGGCGCCTGCAGCGCAGCACCGTCGCTTTCAACACCGCGCTGTCTGCCTGCGCCCGCGCGGAGCAGTGGCCCAGCGCTCTGCATCTGCTGGCGGGGTGGGGGGATGGTGAGAATGCCAAGGGCCCTCCCGAGTGAGGCCCGTTTCCCCCCCGTCGCAAACACATGCAGGGCTCTGGGTTGGTACGAACAATTCAGGCGCTCCACATGGGCGCAACACGCTCTTGGAGGTGGCAGACGTTTTTGTTTTCTGCTCCTTTTTCTCTGCACCCAACACATTTGGAACTTGTCCAACGGCCTTCCGGGATTCCACTCGGATGCCTCCCGGACTGCCGAGAGGAGGACCTGGGCCACGGTTTGGTGGAGGCAGACGGCCTCACCTGCAGCACCGCCATGCTGGCGCTCGAGGGAAGGCGCCGGGGGGTGGGGTGGGACTTGGCACCAGCGAAGGTGTCAGCCATCCGCTTTCGAGGGCGCATTTCCCGATGCTCGGACTTTGGAACTGCGCTTCAGTCAGATTACAACCGCGCCCGCACACGGATGTGAGCACCGGGGAACGTTCGTTCCCAGCGCTGACACGCACGCGGGTGCGGAGGGCCTGCTGGAAGACCATTTTCCTCTTCAAAGGGCTTTCGGTTGATTTCCACAGCGGCTGAGCAGTGCCTAAGCTGGCGATGTTGGTTTGACTGGATGAGGGCCACTCCTTTTCCTCATATTTTTTTTTGGGGGGGGGGAGATCCTGCCAATCGGATGGGTGAAGTCTAGGGTCTGCCAGTTTCACGGTGGATTGGCATCTGGTGCCTTCCCCCGGTCTGGGCCGAGGAACCATTGGAGCAGATAGATTTGGTTTTGCCAGCGCGGGTTGGGGCATTGCCGCATGCACGCACGCCATGGACCGCATGGAGACGTGTTGCACACAGCCATGCCTTGGCAACTAAGTTTCCGATGGTCATGTCTTGAAGACATGGCTTTGGCATGTGTTGGCACCTGTGGTTTCAAACGCAACTTGAGCATTCACAAGCTTTTGTCGTGTGTGGCGTTCGGCCAGATGCCCCATCATGTTTCAGTGTGGTGTAATTTGTGCCCATTGCTTCAATCTGCCTTTTTTAGGCAGATGTGAGCGCTGCATTATCCACTTGGCCGATGTGCATTTCAGTTCTTACACTGCACACGCTGCCGTCCAATTTGGGAACGCCAGCAAACCCATCGGGGACCCATCCAGGACTGGATGCAGCGGTAGAGGGAGAGAGTGGGGACCCATCGGGAAGGCTTTGAACAACGACTCCCGCGTGGGAGCAAAAGGGTGCTGACTGCAGGCTGCCCAAACTTCTTGGCTATTTGGTAACGGATCTTTGGACCCACAAAAAGCCAGCAAGGGCCTGGAGATCTGCCACTGCCCTGCTGCGGGCGCTGCCCCGGGCACAGGTGGAGGCGCAAGCGCGCTTGGCGCGCGCGCGCGCGCGCGCGCGGGGCTCTGGGCCTCGCCGGTCTGATGGTTTTGCTCGTTGACTGGGGTTGGAGGGTTTGAAGGTCGACATGGTTCACGTGCTGCTGGGAGCCTGCATGTTATGTTCTTTTTCCAACCTGAGGTAGCAAAAGGCCCGTTCAGTCGGTTGCGGCGGTCCGAGCGCATGTCTCAGGCGGCCCTGGGCCCTGTGCCCTGTGGCTTGGCGGGGGCGCCGTGGCCAAGGGCGCTCTGGCTGGCGGCAGGCGGATCGAAGTTGGAGATGTGTCAGGAGCTGAAAGAGGTTGACTTGACGCCTTGGGTCCTTTGAAGGAATGGTCCACGGAAGGCATAGAACTGTGATTTGGCAGGGAGGTGCTTCGTGATTTGGAGGTCTGCGGGTGCGACTCCATTTGGACGAGAAAATAGCGGAACTCCTGGGAGCCCCTGTGCCCTATTCATGAGTACAGTCCCACCCGGAAATAATTTCCGTGCTAGGGGGGATATGCATTACTGCATTACTAGAGGGAAGGAATTTTGGGTACCAATCCACCATGGGATTCTGAGCAAGCTACTGCACGATGCAAGCCGGAAATCAAGGATTCTCGGGTGCCGTTGTGGGTGCGGTTGAGGATACTGCTGGGGTCCCCGGTTCCAGTCGCTGCTGCAGGGTAGAGAGCTGCAGGGTGAGTGCCGGGCTGGTCTGGCTTGGGGTATTTGGGTGGTATGTCATGTGAGTGAACAATTCTTCAAGATATGAAGTCCATTTCGCACCACTTTCATTGCTTGTTGGCATTTGCATGGGAATCATCAGAAGCCAGGGTTTCTTAGGTGGTGCCAGATGGATTTCGTCCATCCACAGGCGTTGGGGAGCTCCCAGCGCAGATGTCTGGGAGCTGGGCTACTTTGGAACCCTGGCACTGGAGGTGCAATGGCAAGGATCCGATCTTATTGTTCATATGTTGGCGTCGCCTAACACGTTACCCTGCTAAACCGACCTACTGTAATTAAATGTTGGAACTTTTTTCCCAGGCGCCTCCGCAGCCACAGCGCTGGGCCGCGCCGCGCGCTGGCGCCGCGCGCTGCTCGTGGCGCACACGGCGGACGCCTCGGGCTCCAGCTCCGCTTGTGCGGCGGCGGGCCTCGCGTGCGCGGCGGCGGTGGAAAAAGGAGCCGAGGGGAAACCGGGTGCGCCCCAGACGAGCTCCCAGAAGGCCTTGTAGTTGTTTTTTTCCCCCCTGAAAGCCACCAGAAGAAAAGAAGGCATATTCATGGACGTACGCCCCCAGCTCCCTCATTTGGGGGTCTTTAAATGGAACCAAGTCTGAAGGGGTCCTGGGAGCTTCCATGTTAACTTGGGGGAGGGTAGACTTGCCGAGTGCATGCTTTGTGGTGACCTCTGGTTGTGCAGCATCATGGCTTTCTGACGGGCATGCGCATGGACCCGATCGGAGTTTGGTTGACTTACGTAGGACACCCAGGACCGGCATTCTTTGCTTTTACCCGCTCTTTCTTCCCTCAAACCGAAAGGAGGTTATTGAAGCAGCTCGGTTTGAACGCCCAATAGTGTAGTTCGCTGTGAGAGAGTCTGAGAGAGAGGGAGAGGGAGAGTGACAGAAAGAGAGAGAGAGAGAGCGAGAGAGAGAATGGTTTCAGCACGGGTGGCTCCACCCGACCCCCCCCCAATCCACGTGGCTGTTGGTTCAAAGAGTTTCTCACTCCCTGAGTTCACGGACTTGAGCCGCTTTTTGGGCTTGGACCGACTGTTTCAGGGGCAAAGAGACAACTGGAAGCACTGGGATTGCCAGACTTGACTTAGGCATTTTCCGAACACATGGCGAGATGTGCTTGGCAATTAATCCGAGTTCAAGAGACTAGGACCTGGGATGTATCTTAAGCTAAAGGGGATTTGAAAGTCATTCTTCAAATCCAGCATGAATAAGTGATCAGCCAATCAAGGACAGGTCATGTGAGGATTGATGCACGTCCCGAAAAACGAAGCTGGTCTTGCAGTGCCTTCTTTTTACGCAGCTTTCAAGGCCGGTTGAAGGCTGTCCTTTAGGCTTAGGCTTCAGAGTCCAGACTGATAAGCTGGGTTCGGGAGACGGGTTCGGGAGACGGGTCCGGCACCAGGCCACGGGGGCTGAAGTGATGTGAGCCAACTAAGCCTGCAATTGCAGCCCAAGTGATCTGCAATCGCCTCGGCGATATTTTCGCGGTCGCGTGTGGCAGGAAGCCCCAGAAGCCCTGGGAAAATGATGGAACACTTTGCGCATGGATCTGGAGTCAAGCAATGGGATTTTGGCAAGTTGCCCGAAGTCTGGAAGGGCTCTTCTCGAATCTGTACGGGCAAAAAACATCAATAAACCAAGCTGCATATTTGCGCCGCGGGACGCCATGCCAAGACGATGGCACGCTGGTTCACACTTCTCATACATCCCAGGTCAGTGCTGTCAGAACAGGCATCGTTCATACAAAGAAATGCAGCAGTCCAGCGTGCCATAGATCGGATATAGCGGGTAGCTATGTTCGCTCTATCATCATATCGTCGTGCACGACGCACACAGGGCACGAAACCAAGTCTCAGAACAAAAGGTTGCACATCAGTGGTTTTCAGGGCTGGTATTCGGCAAGCCGTGCCAGGTGCCGAATCCCAGTCAAATCTTATCATTCATGCTTCCAGGTGTGCAGGTTTGTGCGATTTCTGAAAACTGGCGCGGGCCCTCCGCTTTTGGAGTTCAAGTTCCTCGCCCCGGGTGAGAGCTTCGTTTTCACCAGAGAAACCCTGGTTGAGCTGCCGCATTGGAGTTTCTGACGTTTTGTTATTTTTTTGTGTGCGTCTATCTGAGTTCGAGCTTCCCCGGGCCAGGGCCGCTGTTTCACACCGGGCAACCGCCCACACTGCATGTCTATCCATGCGATGACTGGTGCAGGTATGCTGCTTGAGCACGTCTCCCTCAACACCTCCCACTGGACATTATTTGGGGTTGTGTTTGTTCAAGGGGAAGCCAGAACACTCACCATTTGGACATCCCCCCCCCCGGTACCCATCTAGAACGCGCTCAGATTCTGAACGGTTTCGGGACACCCCATGCCTTCAAGGAAGTTGCGTGGCCCTGCTCACTGAAAGAGGCCAACGTTTGGGTTGGAGGGGGATTACCGTCTTTTTTTTTTTTTTGTTTCTCACGCAAAGCTGCACATGATTTTGCGTAAGACTTGCTTGGGGGAGCTGTCAACTTTATGTGGTTGGGGTTTGCCTTTCCCAAGAGCAAGATCGATGCCCCACTGAATGGTGGGTTGACAAGGAACAGCTTTTGATCCATCAGCCCAGCTTGTGCGTTTGTTTCACGTGCCCTCGAAACGAGATGCTTGCAGAAACTGACTTGGTCTCAGACAGTTAAATGACTTGGGAGGCCTGGAGTGTGCTAGATTCTAAGATTCGATGCGTGTCTGGCCCCCCGGCAACGGCACAGCTGGCTGGAATGCCCCGACTCAAGTGCGAACGCGGAGTGAAAACTCGTTGGACCTCTTTGAAAATGGAAACCCCATCAGAAGCGGTCAGTTAACTTACAGGACCCAGAGACATAGACCTTGTTACCTGAACCAGCATGTGCTTGTTCTCATTATTGTATGACCTGCCACTTGGGCAATAGGAAAACTGACTTGTTCAGGGTAAAATTATCTTGCGCAACACTCCCAGGGCATTCTGGGCCTGAACGGAAGCCTTGTCGAGTGGAGCTAGCAAATTGCCCGTGATGCGCGGATATTGCGCGCCATGGCCTTTGCCACTGCATGCTGTCACAATCCTTTCAGGAGACACGTGGGGCGTTGGCGGTTCTTTTCCAAATGCAGGACTAAGCAATCATATTTGCTACCTCGAGATGTGCGGCAGGCAACAGCCGTCGCTCGAACTCTGAAACCGCACGCTGACAAAACAGGCTCCCATGCGAGCTGCCTTTGCCAACCAGTCGTCGGGACGGCCCTCGGGACGTCGGGACGGCTGGATCGGCACTGCGTCAAGTCAGAAATGATCCCGCACTCGGAAACCAGTCGGCTCGCCAGTCGGCGCCGGTGAGCCAAGGCACCATACTTTGCACGGCTCAACTCTGATTTGATGGCAGGCTCGCTTGTATTAAGATATCGCCGCATCCGAGCTGACTCGGGCCTCGCGGACTGCAAACCGTGCCCTTGCTTGTCACGTGGCTTGCCCAAAGGGCGCCAACGAAAGCACTGTTTCCAATCACCCCCCCCCCCCCCCCCCCGCAAAAAAAAAAGAGACAGAGAAGACAACAACAAACAAGACACCCACATCGCACAGAGTTTTTTTTGCAGTAGTCGTCGCCTTAGCAGTGTTTACTGTGGTGGCCTGGCACTCTGGCGCAACCTAGAAATTGAAACCCTTGGGGTTACCCTTTTGGCACCGTCAGTTGAAGCCGTGACTGGCATGACCTACCCAACGGGGCATTGCAACCCTCAAGCTGGCAAACACAGGGCACGGTTTTTGGCCTGCGCCTTGAACAGGATGCTCCCCATATGTGCGATTCCGAGTGAGAGTTCATGTGCCGCCGAGAGAGACCGTTTAGAGCTCAGGCAGCCGCCTTTTTTTTCCTCGCGCGTGCCACGCATAGTTCCCGGCTCTTGGGTGTGGTGAAAGTGCTGAGTGCTATGCACCCAGTGTGTCCGAGCCATGCTCGGATTTCTAGTCGATCACTCGCGGAGGCTGCAAAGAAGCGTTTTTTTCCAGCTCAGAAGGGTCTCACCCACAAAGCCCCTGAGGAGTTCCACTATCCGCGTTCCAGCTTGCTCCAAAGGACGAGGTCGCAACGAGCGGCCCAACTTTGAGGCTTCCGTTGGCCCGTGGCAGCTCGAGGTCAGTGGGGTGGTTGGCGTCTTTCCCCCCGCTTTTCTTTCCCACATGGCAATGTAGCAGGTCCAGGACGTTTGTTCCGAAGGTCATGAAGCAGATGTCAGTCCGGGAAGTTGGAGACCTCGCTTGCATGACCTGGCCGAAAACATGCAGTTCAGGCTCAGGGTCCAAGCTGAATTCCAGTCTGACGAGGACTGGTTGAAAAATACGTGGCGGATCCGATCCTGGGATGAGGAGCGTGTTTCATTTGTTTTCCAGGGTTGAGTACTTAGACCAAAGACGAAAGCGCTCGGCGCCCATGGCTCTTGTTGAGTTATAGCTTTGCAAGGCGTATATTTTCACACCAGGCTCCCTGCAAAGATGTCAGATGATGCACCTGCAGCCAACAGGCCCACCCACCCACCCACGAACCCACCCACCAAACCCAGCCCAGCCACCAAGCCCAGCCTAGCCACCAAACCCAGCCTACCCACCAACCCCAGCCCTGCCAAACGCCCAACTCTACAGACTGCTTGCCACCCCGGCCATGCCCCCCCAACCCAAACATCCGAGCCGGAGCCGTAGCCCATCCCGAGCATGGCGGTGTTATCGGCGGCCTATGGGGCCTCCGCGCTCTTTGGCACCTTGGAACCGGATGCCGGATCTGACCTGGGGTTTGAGGGCCGGGCTTGAAGGCCTGGCTTCCAATTTCAGGCCCACATCTCGCAGACATTCGGAAACTTCCATGCCAAGGGCCTGCGATTCTTTTGGGCGCTGGTGGCAAGGGGAAAAGCGACAACGGGGGGGGGGGCACTCCTTTTTGTTTTGGTTCTTTGATTGCCGGGCGCCTGTCTTGCACGCAAGCCGTGAGCAAGTCTTGCCAGCCTTATTCACAGCGGGCTGAAGCCAGACTCCAACGCACACCTGCCCAGGCTTCAACCGAGAGAACTTCGAGTTCGACAAGAAGCAGACGCTGCGGAGACCCATGGATGAATGAGACTTTTTTTGGCTGCTTTCGGGTCAGAGTTTAGAATTGTTTCGCATGAACATCCTGGGAACGCGCCTTGGCATTCATCAACTCATCCAATGTTAACATGAGCCACGGTAGATGAAGTTTAGTAAGGGACGCTCCCAACCCTAAAAAGCTGCGGATATCCGCCTTAATCCTGTACATGGTTGTGGGTAGACCATTTTAGTACCAGGTTTTGATTGCGACTCACGTGGGCCTTGAAACAAGAGGTGAGCTCGAGCGACAGCCCAGGGTGGCTTCCCGAAAGAAGCGCCACTACTTATGACTGATGGGTGTGCTTTTCTGACAGATTTCGGAGGCGTGTCCTCTTTTCAAAACACACCCCACCCATTCTGCACCATCATCTGCAGAAACGGGGATGACATTTGGCGCACTCACCAAAGTTCCATCCGGAAATGGCGTTCACCAAAATCCAATGTGGGGGACACATTGAATATGGATGAGCATGGCTCATACCAGGCTTGTTCAAGAAGACCCCTTTGCTGCTTGGGTCCCTAGGGTTGGTAGCGAAGGTCATGGACATTTAGACAACCATAAGGATTCCCTGTGTGGGAACCATGGCGGCGACCAGAATATGACCATGACACATATGAGGTGTGGTCCAAAACTCCATCCTGAGGCCAAGTAGCCCCTCTTATTTTCGTTGCAGTTGGTTCCAGCCGCCGTTCCTGGCTGCCCAACTCGCCTGAAGCCCGTGGGGTGTCCGCAGGTGCGTGTGCGTGCGTGCGTGCGTGCGTGCGTGCGTGCGTGCGTGCGTGTGTGTGTGTGTGTGTGTGTGTGTGTGTGTGTGTGTGTGTGTGTGTGTGTGTGTGTGTGTGTGTGTGTGTGTGTGTGTGTGTGTGTGTGTGTGTGTTTCTGTGTGTTTCTGTGTGTTTCTGTGTGTTTCTGTGTGTTTCTGTGTGTTTCTGTGTGTTTCTGTGTGTTTCTGTGTGTGTGTGGGCAGCGCGTTTTTGAACACATATGCTCAGAGATCTTGTGCAGGGAATGTTCAAGGCGGATGGATGGTTTGGCCCTTCTTGAGCAGGTCACTCTGGTCAGGCTCATGTCCCCTGTGGATATCACTTTATTTAGTTTTGCCAGAAAGTTGAATGCGCTTCCACGGCCATCGGCCATGGTGTCTCTTGGGGTGTGTCTTTTCTGATTTGTTGGAGGGTACCTTGTTTTTTGTAAGGGACCCCTCCTACCAACATGGAAGTACACAGACCTCTAGGAAAGGGGCCAAATGTGCAGGAAAAAAGCCATCATTTGGGGTCCAACCAGATTTTCTGGGACCAACCCCATGGCTTGAGTTGGCGAAGCCTCAGGGGAGACCTCGAAATAGGAGACACCTTGCGACGATTTATACTTCTGGGACCAAACCCCCACGGAGAACTTTCTCAGGGGAGAGCCAACACTTGGGGCGTCCAGCCTCAAAAAAGACACACGCACTTGGGAAGAGATGTGCGACCACTCCCACAGCTTCCCACAGCGTACTCCGAGTCGGGCGGGCGAAGCCTCAGGGGAGACCTTCCGCCTGGAGATGCAGCTGAAGCGCTTCGCGCTCTTCCGGGACGACGTGCGGGACCTGGTGAAGCTCACCGTGGACCGCCGCCCCGATGCAGGTCTTCGATGGTGGGAGGGGGGGGGGGGTGGGCCCGGCGAAGGGCGAGGTGGCAACGGTGGCAAACTTAAAAAGATAAAAAATCACCAGGGAGCTGAAAGATGGCGAGCTCCGAACTCATGTCTCCCCCACCCCCACCTCAGATTTTAGCTGAAACATTTCCTTGGAGCCCTGGTCGCACGCCGACTGACATCCTCACCTTCTGCACTGAATCATTCCCTTTGCCCAAAATGCGTTTCAGTTGCCCCCCACTGGTTCTGCACCACACGGCCATCCCCCGTTCCCCCTTTTGAACTTTGGCCCCCAAAGTGCTTGGGCAAGGCAACTTGATGAGGTTCGGGAAAGGCGTAGACATGTGAGACGTGATATTTTGCGGGATGCCTTTCGAATCAGATTTGATAGCCTGGACGTTGGTCAGCGCACAGCGCCCAGACAGTTCCCCAAGGGTTTCTTTAATTTTGCGGCTCAACGGATTGAATACGATGAGATACGATGCATGCGGCCAACCTGCCATTCCACTTTTGGTGCTCTGCTGGTGGCTCCTGCCCAAGGAATGGACGTGTACCACCTGCTGGGCGCCCTGTTCATGAAGCGCCCCAGTCTGAACTCGGGCAAAGATGCTGGATGGAATCCCTATTAGTTTCCGGACCGGCCCGGGGATCTCTGCAACGGGCTTGAACGTAGGCCCTCATGTGCCAGGCTCCATTGGGGGGTTTTTCACTTCCAAGCGCAAGAGGGGGACGCCAGATACACAAAGTACAGCATGCAGGGTGATGGTGTAGGGTGGCCGTGAACTGCGTCTGCATGCGTCTTAGGCAAGAGTCTTTCGGGAAAGCGAGGAAAGATTGATGCCGCTCTGGGCATCGCTTCGTCTCACAGGGCCGAGCTTGTACGGAACCTTGTTTGTGCGCGTCCGGACAGGGCCTCAAACTGGGCAAGCTGAGGCAAGACATGGACATGCGGCTGACCGGCTGATTTTGTGATCTGGCACAGAGGTCAACCCTTCACTAAACACACCATCGTCCCCGGACTATCCCACGGAATGCTTACCTAGGTGGCATGTCTTCAGTGGGACATCGGCCGGTCTGGGAGTTGTGGCTTTGGTATGGCTGAATGGATCTGTACTTTGATTTGGGGAAGGTTGGGAGCTGTTGGGCTCTGGCTTCCCGAAACAAACCCCGGCAGTGCTGATCTTCATGGACACATTGCCATTGAGATTGTCTTAGCTGCCGCTACCACAATGTCGTCGTTTTCTTGCCTTCCGCTGTGTTTCGGGGCGCCCGTTCTTCTTCTTTTTCTTGTTTCGTTTGGCAGCTTGAGCAGGTGGCTCAATAAAAGTGTCAGGGTTTTCAACACTGCGGTGCAGGTCTCTCTTGCAAACAGAGTTTGACACACAAACAAAAGCAACTTTGCCTAAACATCTCCACTGCGAGAATTTTGAGTTGTTTTTGCTTGTATTTTGCCTTGGGGGGGGGGGAGGGGAGGGTTCTGTGTTTTATTTGGTGGGGAGTGGGGCCGGTGTCCGGTGTCCGGGTTGCCCAAAAGCCGAAGCGAGGTTCTGCATCATCGTCTTCTGCAAGGGCCGGATCCAGGCCTCGGCGCCGCCCTTCATCCTGCAGCTCTTCCAGCTCTCCAACGCCTGCGCCTTCATGCGCCGCCCTCGGGGGCTCGCAGCCGGGGGTGGAGGGGTGGGGGGGTGGGGGGTGGGGGCGGGGGGGCGGGGGGGCGGCGCACGTGCTAGGGTGGGATTTGCTTTAAGGGGGAGGTCTGGGTTCCTGTCATGTCTTGCGGGGGCGAGAGGCATGAGTTGGAATGACCATTTTAAACCATCGGCGGTTACTTGAAGGGGATTTCTGGGTTATGACATCAAATCATCTTCCGTGCCATTTGGGGACAGTCCGCCCTCACCGTAGATCAAGCCGCACTAAACCCTAGACGCAATCACAGAATTCAGTGTCCATCCAAGGAAAGTCCAACCCCACCGAGCCTGGAGTCGTTGCCCTCGCATTCCATGCCTGAGGTATTTGCTCCTAGCTGTGTGGCTGAGCATGCACGCCTCCATCGCTTCTCACTCCTTCGGGGTGAAGATGCTTACGCGCTTTGCAGCTCGGTGGAAGGGGGGTTTCAAGAGGTAGGCCTTGGCCCAATCCAAGCTTGGGCTCCTTTAGTGGACAAGCCATTCCGGATGATTTGCTCACAAAGCTGCGGCGGCAACCAGCACCTGCCGCTGCATGTGGCAAGATGGAGACTTCTTCCTTTTCATTTCGAGCTGTCGAGAGGGAGATGCCATCCAGCATTCCTGTTGCTGTGATGGGGAGGCCAATCAAGATGAATGAAAGTTGTGGTGAAGTGACTTGAGACACCAAGTTCGTAGTGAGCGGAGCAGGGTTGCAAGAGTCAGCAAAATCTTGAAGAAACTAGTTCTGCACTGATTCGATGGCCGCAGGCACACTTGAATTCGAGATGCAGAGCAGCAAATTAAGGGGTATGTGGGGGGGGGGGGGGCGGCGCCTCATTGGTCAGTGCCTGTTGCATCGATGTGTTGGACCCTAGCGGCTTGTGGTGCCCTCTCAACTCCGGTGCCTGGTCCTTCCGCATCGCTTGCTCCAAGAGCTGTGGCGGGTGACAATAGGCAAGCAGACATCTCTTTGAACACAGTCAGTGCACATTTCTCGGGATTTTTTGTTTGGGGGTACGGCTTGGTGCAAGATGGGGGATGATGGAGGAATGACCCACCAAAACCTACATCTAAAACTGTCAAAGGGGAAAAACACATAGCCAGATATTGTACGTACTCAACTGAGGTGCGACTGCCAATCCCCACACAGAATCAGATCACGTCCTTGCAGGCAGGTCGGGTGGGTCCTGCAGTTCCGGCTGGGTCCTTGCTTTGTTGGGCATCCTGTTTCGACGCCATTCCTGGGACTTGGCCGAGATGCTCCAATGCAGTTGCAGTTGGGCGGGTGCCTATCAATGAGTTGTAGTGGAGCACCGGAGCAAGGCCCGGTGCTCCAAGGTATGTGGTAAGAATGGTGGTTTGCCTTTGGTGTCCTTTTGGTGTCCCTTCAAACCAGGGCGAACAGGCAGGTTTCCCTACAATTGCCAGGCCAAGCTCATAGACTTTGAGAAGCAAGGCGTGGCGCAGATGCTGCGCATGCCCTTCCAAGACCACCAGGCCTTTGGGTTGGTCCCACCCTTCAGTTGCAAGTTGCTGCCTAGAGTTTGCCAAAGCGAAGGGTGTGGGAGGAGGAAGCTCGAGGCCTGTGGTATCTTGGGCGGCGTTGCACTCCTTGGCCCTTCTGTAAAGTTCTTCCGGGGCGAGGGTTACCTGGAAGGAACGTGATAGGCCCAGTAATAATGATGGGGTAGATTTGCAGTGCGGCAGCCGGATTTTTCCAAGAAGCTCCCAGAGATCAGCTGCTCTGCGTGTTTGTTCTCGTTGATCATTCCGTGGCATGGACCGCTGGGCATGGTCACAGGTCACAGGGTGGGCGGGTCCCGGGAAGCGGAGAGCTGAGCACTTCCGCTTCCTGAGGGCCAGTTTAGGGCCAGGGCCAGTTTCGGGCGGCTTCAGGAGGGAGCGCGAGCATGTTTCTGGGGGGGCGGTGCAGAAAAAATGGTGCAGGTTGGCGCGTGTGGCTGTCCCGTGCTGTTTGGCTCGGTTTGGAGGGTGCTGGGGGCTACACGGGCGAAGGGTGCTGGATGTTGACCTTTTCTGCTGCCTTCTCTGGGCCAGGAATGGGAGCAGGTGCGGGGCGAGAAGATGAAGGCCGCAGCAGCAGCATCAGGGCCACCAGAGACACCGGAGGCTGGGGACAGGGTTGGTTGGGAGCCCCAACGTGCTTGACGAGAATGCCTTGTTGCCACTGTTGCTTTCCTCAGCGGTTGCATGGCTGCCTCGCAGGCGGGGCTTATTTGTTTCTCCTTTTTTCGAACTCGATGTTTCGTTGCCCAACTAAGATGTCCCAGCTCAGCTTTTTCTGAAACCTCCCGCACTTTGTGCAACACCGCGCCACTTGGCGACCTTGCAATCCGTCCCCATTGCGAAGCCTTGCTCCGCTCAAATTGACGCAAAGAAGGCCATGGATAGTAAGGCTGCCGTGCATGAGGTTTGGCTTGGGACCCCACCGTACGGCTGCGCTTTTGTCTCAGGTTTCGCAGGCATCCGCCGTTGCCCAGCGCAAGGCGAAGGGGCCAAAGATCCCCAAGCTCGTGGGCTGGGGAGCCCAGAGCAATGCCTGCAGCATTGCAGTTGCATGAGGCGTGCATGGCGTGCATGGCGTGCATGGCGGCGTCCAGGTCAAGATCCCGAAACGCGCCCCGCTTTCTCCCAACGCGAGCGGCCGCCGTAGCGAGCCATGGTCTCGCCCAGCGAGGATCAGGAAATGGGACAGGCGCCAGTTGTGCAGGGCAAGCCCGTGGACCCTGCGCCCGGCTATGTGCCCGGTCCAATGTACGGCGCGCACGCGGGTGCTGCGTACGATGCCGGGTACGGTGGCTACCCCCGGCCTCCGGTGAATGTGGTGCCAATGGGGATGTTGCCACCTGAGGAGCAGATCATCATCAATTACCGGATGGCGGTGATGTGCTTTGCCGGCCTGGACTTGATGAACACGAGCCTGAACGTGCTCGCGGCCTGGGCGCTCAATGACAAGTTCCAGTGGTGGGAGCCCTTTCTGCTGCTGTGGATCATGGGCCCACTCTTTGGCTTCCTGGGGGCACAGAGGCTGAGCAGGCCACTTACTGCGGTCTATGTGGCCTTCTGCATCTCCAAAATGAGCTTCCAGATCGTCTGCGCGATCTTCTCCTTGTGGCTCTGGACGATCCTATTCGCGGTCGTCCAGTTCTGGATCACCAAGATCGTGGCCACCTTTTGGTTGGCCTTGGGAGTCGCTAGCCCGGAGCGACGAGCAGAACTGCTGGAGGTCAAGGAAGTGGGCGTTCAGATGGTGTACTGGTGACAGCATTGACAGGGCTCGGGCATTGAAATGTGCTTGGGACTGTTTGGTCGCTTCACGCCATTGCATGCATTAGTCGCCCTCTTTTGCCTGGGCCATTTGGCAGACAGGAGCGGCGCAAATTCGAGTTGATGCTGACAACAGTTCAGATCAATTCTTTTATGTAACGGTGCTTGCGAAAGCCAAGCCACTACTTAATGCAGTGTGTAGCTTTCGACTCAGTTGGAAAACATGACTGGAGTTGACACCCTTTGAGGAAGGTGTAGGTAAGCGCCCTTAACCCGAATACCACAAAAGCGATCCATTCCAACTTGCCCCCGCCCCGTTTTGGGTAATCAATTGGGCGCAGGAATCAGGGACGAAATGTTTGCCTGGCGCTAGCCCCACATTGAAATGTGGCGCCCATCCCACCCATTTTTTTCCGATGTCGACTCCTCTGCCTTCTGCCGAGCTCGTTTTTTTGGGCTGTTTCGAGGAGGCTAGAAGCTTGAAGCATAGGTGTCGTTTTGGGTCGGCTTGGTTGAACATACTGTGGATGGACAAAATCCTGCACCACTTGGAAACCATCATGATGGTTGGTATTTACATGGGACTCAACATTCCAGAGTTCCTCAGGTGGTGCAGGATCACAGTAGCACTGGTTTCAAGCGAGTTGTAATCAGTTGTCAGCGCCATCCATTTTTGGGCTCACAGACGACGCTCAGGTGGGAGCAAGACCATGGGGCAGGCCGGTGGGGGAACGGGCTGCGGCGACAGCTCCCATTTGGCGAGTGTCCAGTTCAGGAATGCCGGCTCAGAATTCTTTACTCGTGAATCACATGCACCCACTTGTTCAGCAGCACCCGTTTTCCCTTGGTTTGGGACCCCCCCCCAAACAAACAGTCATCACTTGGTGCAACTAGCCAGCTGGGTGCATGAGTTTGCTAGGTGTCCGGGCTACGTGCTGCAGCAGCCGTGGGCTGGCAGCCCCAGTCAGAGAGAGAGAGAGAGAGGAAGGCTCTTGGCGTCTTTTCCAAGCGACCTGTGTAAAGGGAGCCCGCTCAGCTGCCAAAGATTGGGCCTTTTGTTCTGCTGTCTTGGTGACGCTGGGTGTCTGGCGCGGTTTGGTGACTGAACCGATGTCGCTGTATTTGGGCACTTGGGAGTGGCCAGATCAACCTTGTCAGGCGATTCAGGGTTTCTTTTTTCAATGGAGCTGGTATATCGGGCCCCCAGCCGTTCGTCCATTTTGCATTTTACCCTCAGCGTGCGTGCATGGCATGTGTCCGACATGAAGGGACTTGTCCGTGATCCCTGTTGAGATAAACATGCCCTTCTGGTGGGTGTGGGTCAAAATGAAGCCACTAGGATATGGACCGCAGGTTTTAGTCTTTGGTTCCATTTGCCAGGGCAAGCCATTTTGGGGTTACCCGATTTTTGACCCACTGCCTGGTGGGGTTCTGATCGTAAATTCAGTTTTCCCTGAGCCCCCTGGACGATCTAGCTGCCATCAGTCACCTGTTGAAACCCGAGCTGGGGTGGAGCTTGGATGCATGGGTGTGTCCTTTTTGAGACCCCTCCAAAGTTATGTTTTTGTTCTCCTTTTGAAGAAGCTAACCCGCAAAACAAGTACCCTCAAAGAAAGACACATCATCATCATCATCATCATCATCATCATCATCATCATCATCATCATCATCATCATCATCATCATCATCATCATAGTCGCCGTCGTCGCCGTCGTCATCATCTTCCCGTTTTGTGTTTGTATGCGGTGCCTGCCAATGGCTGCTTGCCATTGGAGTCATCGGTCGGCTGCGTTTGGCGTCGCAGGGGCGACCAGCTCCTTGCTGCTGGATTCCCAGGCGGGCTGAAGCGAAGTGGTTCGAGCTGGAGGGTGCTGATGGGTGCTGATGGGTGCTGAAGTTTTCCCAGCGGAAAAAAGGGGTTGGGCAATTTTTGCTGGTTTTCCCAGGGAAAAACGGGTTGGGCACTTTTTTCCCAATTTTTGCTTTGCCCCTTTGGGTTTGCTTTGGAAGGGGGCGTCATTAGGTAAGCTTCAGTGATGCCTCCGTGGTCGCCAGATACGTTCGTAGGTGGTTGCCGTTTCCAAACCGAAATCTGTCAACGCGCCAGCTTTTGCTGGGTTGTTTCACTTCTTGTGCTCCACCGGACAGCTGAGTTCTCCGCCTGGAGCGTGCGCGCTCGCCAGGGTCAATCCGGCAAAATCTATCGTGCTGTTTTTTTTTTTTTTGTTTCCTCTTTTTCTCTAAATCCAGCATTGCTCGGACTTCTCTTGCTCGCAGCAACTTCTCGAAGCTGGCTTGCGAGCCCCGCGTTTCCTTCTTGCTCCGGGGCTTGGGGCTTGGGGGGGAGGGCGTTCCGCGCGTTCCGTTTAGCGCGCGTCCAGGAGACCCAGCCCTTCGAGGACCTGCTGACCAGCAGCCGGGGCGCCATGCCCGAGAGGCACGTGCAGCTCTTCCGCCCGCCGGCGCGGATTGGAGGCATAGGATGGCACAGGTCTCCTTTTTGGTTGGTTTGCTCAAAAAAAGTGGAGGGCGATCCCTGGTTTAGATGGGGTTTATGCCCCATGTACCAGGGAAACCCATCTATTCTTCCAAAAGGCCACCTATGATTGGAGGACATGCCACCCGTCGCGCGAGGGGGGGCCCCCCCACTTTTTGGGGCCTTTCTAGGTGGGGTTTTGGTCGGCTTTTTTAAGCGGTCTTAGAGGGAGACCGAAAAGGAAACCAGCAGAAGTAACATGTTGAAAGCCCCTCATGGGTGTGAATTTTCAGACGACCCCCCAAAAATGCAGGTTTTCCCTTGTCCCAAACCCACCTGCTAAAAAAACACCCACGCCCAATAGAAAGGCCCCGGTCTCTCGGTGGTTTCTTAGTGTTTCCCTTTAAACCACCATTTAGAGGCTAATTCTGAGGAGGTCACTTCAATGGACACAGTCAACTACCGGGGGTTTGCGCCCTTATTTCAAGTTTGCGAGTTACGAAGTTCTGCCAGCACTGACGGCACCCTCAAGAACCCCTGGTTTTCTTGATCTGGCTAAGCAGGGCTGCTGATTTCTCGCGCTCAAAATCCGAGCCTCCCACTGGCACTCCGCATGCTGCGACTTTGAGACGGGTACTTTACGCAGTTTGTTCAGCTGGCTGAAGGGGTTTGCAAGGCAGATGGGGTCATAGTCTTTCTAATAATAAAAGCTAAAGATAGATAAGGAAAAGGAAGTGATAGAGCGAGAATCTTGGATTCAGGGAAATTCCTTCCTTTCTTATCTCTCCATTTCGTGTTTCTTTTCGTTGAGTTTGTGGAGGTGCTGAGAGTGGAGTGTGCCGAGGCAAGCTGCAGTTCAAGTGGCAATGCTACGATGCCTACTGCCGGGTTTGCCTGGGCTTAGGCCTGCGCCCTGGCATGAGTCCAGCAAAACAACTTGATCAGCGCCCTTGCATAACTTGAGCTGCAGCACGCAAGAACGCGCAGGTTAGACACGCGAGATTCTCATTGGAGAAACATGTAGTGGATGATGGGGGGGGCTTCTTCAAGAACTGTTCGGCTTTCCGCCTTGGCGAATGGGGGTGCTCGCTGCCCTCGAAACGGCACCTCCTTTCGCATCCCAAGATTGCCAGTCGACCTTGTTAAGCTTGCATGGTTGAGGGTGCCTGAAGTCAAACATCAAGCAGGCATGTCTGCCAACGTGTGCATAGGTTCAGCGTCTTTGAACGTGTAGCTGGGCTGACAGAGCATCACCATTCAGCGCACTTCACTCCCGCGGACTGACGGAGCGCGGGATCATCTTCGTGGAAATATCGCCAAGGCTAGCTCCATGCAACTGGAGCAATCAGGTCAAGATGTCAAAATGTTCACCATTGTTCACTGGGCAGCATGGCATGTTTTCTGAACAGCCATGTTTTGCCTCTTGTTTCCTACTTCTTGCTGTGTTTGGATGATTTTGGATGCGCGGTCAGTATCTGTACAAGACTACGACATGGATGCCGGCTGCATCGTGAAACTAAAGCAACGGTCGTTGTGTCTGCGCTGTTGGCATAGTTGTGTTGGGCCTGATTCGTCCTGGGCCGAGGAATCACATCCTGCAGGCACTCACCTACTACTGCATTTGCCACACCTTGGTGGAGAACCAAATGCCCACGCTGGGGTTTGCGCTGGTGGCGCCTTGTCTTTTGTTCTTTTTTGGTGGGGGGGGGCAGTTCCTCTTGACCCATCAGCCGTCCTTCAGTCAACTCTAGCCCAGCCCTCGACCCACCCAGAAATCAATCCTGAAGTGACCTAACTGCGTGAATTTGCCCAAGACAACCGGACTAACCCTCGGCTGACCCTGCTGCAGCCACCCTTTCCCCAAAGGAAGGCAGGCAGGCAGGCAGGGACGAAGGGAGGGAGGAAGGAAGAAGAAAGAAAGAAGAGCCGACAAAGACGGAGCGACAAGCAACCAACACCCACAAAACCCCCCGCCGTGGGTCCGTGGGTCCGTGGGTTTGAGCCGATTTCATGGCGAGGTGTTGTTTCAGACGGCCACCATCTTCGTGGCCTTCTTGGACCTCGCGGGGCTGCAGCACCGGGAGATCATCGCGGTGCAGGTCGCCAGCACCTCTGACGGAGACCGCGGCACGTGGGCCACGTGGGCCGGGGGGTTTGGGGGGGGAGGGGGAAGGCAGCTGGACGTAGGTGGCTTCCCCTTGAAAACCGGCGCAAATGCACGAAGCCCTTCGTCATCTCCATGCCCTGCCATGGGCTGCTCTCACTTCACTTAGCACGTGTATTTTGCCAGGTGTCCGCGTCAATCAAAGAAGGCCCAGAAATCATAAGGTTGAGTTTTCCGGCGCTGGCGCGGCAATTGCGCATGATGGCGTGCTCTTTGTGAATCCCACTTTATCATTAGAGAAAGGGGTTCTACAGCCATGGCCAACGCCACAAAGAAATGACACAACCCGCCCAGCAAGCGCAGAGCACGACTTCGAGGCGCTCCGCCGGGCGGATGTGTCAAGCTGCCGCTGGCTTGTGGTCATTTGGTGGCCGGCAGGTGAGAACCGCCGAAGCGCCAGGCAGCGAAGCCCCGCGAAAAGCTTCAGAGTCACCGAAGGAGCGTCGAGTAGATTGCCGTGCTCCCACAGTGCAAATCAGGAAGGCATCCGCAAGTTCCCTAGCATTACCTTGCAGTGAGGCCACAGGTATTGATTTGCACGGCGCTGACAACTGGAGTTGCGTGGGCGCTCGTGTTGCTATTTTCCTGTCTGTATGTATATATGTATATGTATATTTTGTATGTATATGTATAGTATATAGTCAGAATGATCGCAGGCAGGCTCAGGCAAGCCAGCCGCCACTCCGGCACGTGCGTCATGTCATCGGCGCGTTTTGTTTGAGTGCGATGCGCAACCCAAGCATGTTCTGGAGGTCAAGTTAAGTCGTTTTTGTTTGTTGCTAGGTGTGCGTCTCACAACAAGTCTGAGGGGAGGTTCCACCCAAGACGAACCAACTCCTGCACGAGTTGGGATGGATGAGCCCCTATGAACGCTGGCCGGTCTCCTGGTGCGAAGCGGGTTCTGTCCGTCCAAGTGCTTAGGCATCGCGCCGGGCGTCGTCGCGGCGCTGGAGGTAAGCCTCAGCAGCCGAGACTCGGAGGGAAAGCTGCTGACGCAGGACGCGCTCTCCGCATGCCGCGGGCTGGGCGTGGTGCAGCCCAGAAAGGGCGACCTATGTTGCGAACTGTGTCTTTTCAGCGCCTACTTTGAGAAAAAACACCCAAAAACATTTCTGCAAGAGAGGGCAAGAGGCGTGCCCCGCAAGTGAACATGGGAACCCAGAAAGGGATCCCCCAAAACCGAGCCGACAACCGACCATGGGGGGGGGGGGGGCAGTTGTGTGCTGACGAAGGAGTTTTCCGGCAAATTCATGGGTTGTGAGCGTTGCTTCTGCGTGTATTAAACTAGTCTCCCAGAGACGCCCTGGAATTCCAGACATAGCCCAAGCCTTTTGTAGGGCTGCTGGACTATGATCCCTTGTTTGTTTTGTGGGTGTGTCTTTTTTGAGCGGGCCCTTTCAGAATCTTTAACGGGTTGGTTTGAAAGGGAAGCCAGAAAACACCAACATGTCTTGGCCCTAAAAAATGCCGCGCCCTTATATTGCCACTGTCCCTGGTTGCACGTGGGATGCTTGCCGGTATTTTTACGCTCAGCCTTTGGCCCCGGCCCCCGGGACGGAGATCGATTTTCCCCGGCGACAGCGAGCGCCATGGTGACCACAGATCCGGACGAGAAGCCCACGCGACTTGGTGGGCTCAGGGGTGCGGATGGGAAGCTACGGGGTGTGGGTGGGACTAATAGTACGAGGGGTTCACCAGAAAGGTCCGAGCAGGGGAGGCGGGGATCCATATGTTTCCCCCTTTGGTGGGCTCTCTGAAGCATCGCGCTTTCTTGGCCAAGTGCGTGTGATTGAGTTGCTTTTTGGGTTTGGTGATGTTTCAGCGCAAACCCTGGTGTTGCAGGAAGGTGCCCCCCAAACCACCAAAGTTGCAGGGCGAAGGCATTTGTTGAGCATCAATAGTTTGCCGCTCTCCTTCTCCAAGCCGAGCAGTGTGGGACGCAGTCCCCAAACAAATCCGCGAACAACACTAAGGGCCGCACTGTTCACCCTTAGAATGATCCGGTGTGACTGACTAGGTCCCCCAGTAGTGCCCTTTTACTTTTTTTTTGGAGGGTTCCCCCACTAAAATAGACTACAGGAAAAAGGGTACCCTTCTTCTAACCTCTCTACTGGAGAACCTGGCTGAGTAGGCCGCATGGATTAATGGAACATGTTGGGTCCCTGGAGACCGCTCCTCCCCACGGCAGCGGGTGGCAAGTAGCACACCGGGGTGAAAGTGGCACAACCCCCCTTTCTGCCGGAGGTACCAGGGGTATTGATGGCACGGGGATGGCAAGGCCAACATGGGCGTGGCTTTTTTCTGAGGGTACCTTCATTTTCAGGTTGGTCTCAAGGGAGACCTTAGAAGGAGCCCACCCATTCCACAGGTCCCCCGAAACTCAGCCAGCGATGCCATCGACCCGCGACCCGAGGCCTCTGCTGAAGGAGCCCCCAGAAGCGCGGCCCTCGCCGCTGAGTCGGCTCCGGGACTTCCTGAGGGCTGTGACCTGCCAGCGGCGCCAGGTCAAGGCTCAGCGCGTCCTGGATCGCACCGGGAAGGGGCTGGGGCCGTGTGTGGGTGTGTGTGTGTGTGTGTGTGTGTGTGTGTGTGTGTGTGTGTGTGTGTGTGTGTGTGTGTGTGTGTGTGTGTTGCATCTCTCATTTTTGTTTGTCCGTGCGGAAATGGCCCCATCGGAAGCCAAACTCATTTTTTAAAGGAGAATCCCAAGGAAACGGCGCAAACTGCGGTTTTCAGCAGTTTCCACAGATTTCCTGCGGTTTCCCCTGATTTCCCTTCCACTGACTTGTTGCTGTTTCTCGTGGTTTCCCGTGGTTTCCTGTTACTGTTGCCGGTTTCAACGAAAAAACCAAGGCTACGAGCAGCTCCTGGAGGTCGGCCGCGGCGTGCCAGAGCGGCCGCCCGGACGGGAGGGATCTTTTTCTTTTTTGTTTTTTCTTGTTTTTTTCACCGGGGGGGGGGGACGCATCCGGTCCGGGGATCTCGGGGTTTCCGCATCAAGGATTTCCTTGGAGAAAAAAACATGGTTTGGGGGTCCTTCTAGTTTGCCTTTGTTTTCTGGAGTGTTTCCCAAGCGCAAAGGGGAAAGAAAGAAACCAGTTGTCGCCGGAACGGCTTTGCAAGGAGCCTGCCTGCCTTGGTTGCCCAGGGCCGGTTTGTTCTGCCGCCTCGCACTTTCCCAGGTACAACTTGGGGTTTTTGAAGACTACACCTTGGTACCTTGGACAGTTTTGCCTGCTTCATTTCAGCGTTCACTCCCCTGTACTGCAAAACCTTGAGATGTGTGGAAGGAGCTCTAATTGTCAGTTTGCTTGGCAGACGTCCTTCCTAGGCACCCAGGCGACCCACAGCATCGCAGTGAAAGACTTGGACATGTCAATTACGTTGGGCTCCTGTGCACAGCACATTTGTTGGAGGTTTACTTTGGATGATGCTTGGCCTAGGTGTTGGGCGTGTTGCATTTGTTTGTCCGAGTGGCGCAGATAGTGTCTTGTCATGGGTGTGGCCCTTTTGCAGGATAGTTCTGTGCAGGGCAATCCCATGCACGGTGAAGGGGGGGGGGGGGGCAAGATTTCCAATGCTTTGGAGGGCGGGGAATTTGAGCTTGATCCCAGTTGCTGTTTTTGTTTTAATGGCCTGGGGGTCGAGAGGGATTTTGATGGGCCTTGGCCACTTGCAGATTTTGGTGGCGTGCCGCAAAGCGGCACCACATGGCATTCACCTTGGCTCCCCCAAGACCACGCAGCCTCGCAGACAAGTGGACCAAAAACGCTCAGGAAGCGCGAGGAATGGTATGACCGCCTGGCCTGGTGGAGCGAGGCGGAGGGGATTTTGGTGCACCTGAAAAGGAATCCCAACTTTTGCGGTTCAAAAACAGAGTTGGGGGCCCCCAAGCCCCAAGCTTTGAGACACACAAAAGCTCCTGTGGCTGTTGGGTTGCGAAATCTTTTGCTTTTCCAAGTGCTGGCCTGGTAGTGACTCATAGGACTGCTGGTCCTCGGAGCAAGGGGTCAGATTGCAAAGAAGCGCTTGGGCAAACATGCCAGAGGAACAGCGTAGCTCTCTCTCTCTCTCTCTATAATGTTGGCACGTAAGTCACGTAAGTGTGCTTTCTCAAATGTGCATGTGGTATATATGCATATACTGTATATGTATGCACATATATATATATAAACTTTGCATACACGTAAACATAGTCGATATACGTACACATGTATGCATACACACGCACGTATCTACCAAACACGGCCACACCTTCCAATCAATCTTGTGCCTGAAGGCAATCTTGAGTATGAGAGTTCCACCCTTGGAAGCTGTCCGTGCTAAAGCTTACAAGGCCTTCAGCCATGAAGAGTATTCGGAGCGAGTGTTGACTAGGATTCAAGTTCGGTCAAACTGTAAACTGCCTGAAGAACCTTCTTCGCAGTTTCATCCGGCGAGGAAATTCCTTAGGTGCCTCACCCTTGAAATCGGTAGACCCGAGTCAGGTGCCGACCAAGAAAGGCTCCAAGGTCTTCGTTTTCGCGCCCAGGGGCCCAGGCGCAGACTGGGCTTTTGCATGAGCTGCCAGCCATGAATACACTGGGGTTGATTCATCTGGAGTCATGAGGACGGTCCTCTTGAAAAAGGCCCCTTGCCCACCTCCGCGAATCTTGGAAAGAGGCTCTTGAGGAAGCACAGCAGGTGGGGAGTAGCGGCACAGCAGGTTGGGAGGGGAAGATGCGGCAACCGTGCATGGCATACATGGCCACAAGAGGCACGCCAGCGAGCGGCATCGTGCCAGGCGGTGAGACTGAGTACCCCATCAACATGCGGGAGCTTCTGGGTTACACCCTTCTGAAGATGGATAAGGCGGCGGTTTTCTGGGCAAATTGCTTGCTCACTGGGGGTCCCTCTTTTTTAGTTGGGTCTTATAGTAACTTGGCAGCCACATCAGCTGCTCTCAGATTCTTTGGTTGGTATATGAAAAGGCCACAGGAAAAATGACTCCCACATGACGTTATGACACGCTAGATGCGCAGGGTGTAGGCTTGCCGAACTGGAGGTGTCAGGTGCGCTTGTGGGCCAGGTGGTCGTAGAGGAGGACAGCACTTTTGCGGTGGTCTGGGTGCAGGAAAATGCGCCTTGGCGGAGGCACTCTTTGCCGGCCTATTGCCTTGGTGGATGTGCTTTTCCACGAAACATCTTTGGCGGTTGGGTTCTCGTTCGGTGTGCCGTGCGGGAAAAAAACACGAGCGTGACGTAGTCTTTCAGGGTCGTGCAGGGGCGGACGCATTTGTTTTGGATCCCTGCGTGAGCGAGCGTGCGCGTGCCTGTGTGTCTTTGTTTGTGAAGCAGTCAAGCTCGTGGGCCCTCAATTCTCACGACAACTTGAGTCTGAGTGGCGCAACATGTGGCACACCGCACGTATTTCAAGCCTTAGGCGCCGGGCCGCTGGCGCGTGGTGGCATGGGGCGGGCGAAACGTTTTTGTGCCAAATTTGCCTGGTCTTTGGACTTGCTGCCCTCGTTTCTAGACCATTACTGGATAAGGGGCGGACACGAGGGTCCAAACTCAACTGTACGAAGGCAACGCTGGGCGGCAACAAGCAATGGCAAACCGCATGATCCGAAGTCATAGGCGTTCTTGGGGCACCCTCTGCTACGTAAGGAGGTGGCAAACTGGCGCTGGCCTAGTTATTTTCACAGATGTTTCATAGTGCCACTTGCTGAGTCGGTGAATTTGATTTGAGTTGGGGGCTTTGAGCCAAACTGTTTCATTTGGCTCCGACGTGCCGTGCTCGCCTTCTGAGGACCACCGACTCTGGCCGGTCCAAGCCTGGCGGCTTAGCGAGAGCCTCCACGAAGCCCGGCCAAGGATCGAGTGGGGGCTGTATCTGGCAGGGGTAAAATGGGGGGGGGGGGCGCGGGGGTAAAGAAGTACAAAGAGTGCTCTCCCATGATCATGCGGTTCCCTTCATTCGAAACAAAAGCCACCCAACTGGGAGGGATGGTTCCCCTTCAGCAAGAAGAATGGTGGAGGGGCGAGGCGGGCAAGCATCGCTGAGCAGATTTTCATGCTCAATAGTCAAAAGGGTGGAACGTTGACGTCCAACTGTGCCCTGTGCTGCTCAGCCACCTCACTTTCCGAGTTTGGGTCGGGAATGAGGCTTTCTTGGATCGACGCGTGCGGCAAAACTTGGTTTGCAGGCGGCGGACTGGCGCATTCTTTCTTGCATGTTGGTGGCTTGGAAAGAAGGCCTCAGTTGTGAGGCAGTTCTGGGCCCCAACTCTTGTCACGCAGACGTGTCAGCGCTTTTTCTGAGGAAAGGTATGGGAACAACTTGGAGGCGGTACATGTGGTGCACCCCTCCTGGACCGTGCGGTTCCTTCGGCTGCTCTTCTGGCCCCTGGCCAGCGAGGACGGGTGGATGCCTGCGCGATGGGCTTCGGGGGGGGGTTTGTGCATGCTTCGTCCTCCGTGCGTTGCCTGGAATGTCAAGGCCCACCAGGAAAGATTTGCATTTCAGATTCGCTGAAAAGCGCGACATGGGCCAGCAAGCAAGCCTGTGAACGACACGGACTACCGTCTGGTGGCACCACTCACCTCAGTCCCTTTCGGGAGCTTGAGCCTCGGAAGACCACTTGGGTGGTAAGCGGCCTAAGCTTGATTTGTCCACTCCATTCAGGAAATGGGAACGTTTTGCTGCTTGGAATGTGAAACCTGGGACGCCCGTTTTACACCAGGGACTTCTCTGGCCATTTGACTCTTCGCCGGCCCTTAGGAGTTCTGGGACTATTTCCAGTCCCACGAGCGCGTGGAGTTCCTGGATGTAGCGCTAGACATGCGGAGGTTCCGCCTTCCCAAGGACGAACTGGGGGGAAGATGGAGCATGTGGCTGGCCGGGATGGGGCTTCTGGGTATGGTTTGTGTTTGCTTTGGCTGCAGAAGAATGCATCTCAAGTTCAAATCCAGCCTGCAAACTGGGAGGCTGTTTCATTGCTCATTCAGGGTCTGGTACGAAGCCAATGCCCACAGTCAGAGAGAGGTTGTGTGGGCCGCGAACTTCCACTGGCCTGTGAGAGGGAGACGTTCATGAGAAGCTTGCGAGGCTTTTGGGTTGAAGCAGGGCAAGCAATAGGCAAGGCATGCTCTTTGATTTGCGTCTTCCCCCCAGACCAAACCCCAAAGAACAAATCTGACAGTCAGTCAGTTAGAGCTTGTTCACCCCTAATTTACCCTTAAGAGGGATGTTGCAGGGGTCTAGCGGAACCTTCGACTTGCAGGACATTGTGGAATACGACAAGTGGCTGGACAAGCAGGCGCAAGGGAAGGGGGCCGAAGGTTCTTGCCGGGGGCCGTCCAGTAAGAAATGCCTGGCTCCGGTCTTTGGGGGGTTCTCCAGCACAGGACGTCTTAGACAGATGTTTGTACCCGTCGGTCTTGGCTCAGGATCCAGCCCTCCCCCCAATTGGCAGTTGATCAAGGGCACGGGCCCATCTTTTGGAGAATGAATAGGGCCTATCAGCATCAATAGCTGTTTCCACTTTCATTTGCCACTTGGGTTTGGGAAATGCTGGGGATGAAGCTTGAATGCGCACTTTTTTTGCACATCCAACTTAACTTGCTGCTGCTCAGTGTGGGAATGAATTCAGGGATTCCCTTAAAGGAAACCACCAGTTGGATGGTTGAACAAAGGGTCATTCCATGTCTCATTCCCTGCCTGGAAGTACTCTCCCTCCCACTAACATGGCAGCTGACAGGGACCCGGTCCCTTCAAGAGGAAAATGATCTTCCAAGTACCTCCCCAGAAGTAGCATGTTAGTGGGAGGAAGGGTACAGGTACCCCTAGAACTCTTCGCATTTTTAGGTCACACAGACCTCAGACTTTTTCCTCAGGCGGAGGAGCTCCATAAGCAGCAGGCCTCCAAGCAGGCGGCGACGTTCTGACCCGCGTGCGGGGCTGCGGACGTCTCGTTAAACGGGGCCGGGGTGGGGGGGGGGGGTTGGTGAGTGGCCCGAAATGGGTAGGTCTCTTTCTTTTTTTTAAGGGACCCCCCTCAGTTATTTTTTTCCTACTGTTTTTTTTGAGATGTGGGTGGGTTTTCTTTATGGTTTCCCTTCAAAGCCAGAACCATGGGGTTACCCTCAAACCCAAATGAGTTCTAACAAATGAGTCGAGGATACTACACACACACACATGATTTATTTATTTTGTCTTGCCGCGAGCTGGAACCTGTTTGTTAGAACCTGTTTCCGGTCCCCGAAGTTTTGATTTTTTGCGCAGGGCCTTTTGCATGGCACCTTCCCTTGCTGCAGGGCCTGGGCGGAAGCTTTGGCGGAGGCTTTGGCGGAGGCTTCGGCAACATTGGAAACAGCGACGAGGAGCGGAAGAAGCTGGAGCCGCTCGGCCGCGAATTCGCCGCCGGCAGGGGCGGCTGGGGTTGTCCAGCTTGCGAGTTAGAGTCCCCAAAGAAAAACGGAGCCACGGGCAACCGGGCAAACCAGCATGTGAGACATGGAGGGTTAAACTCCTGATGACCTGCGAGGGCTGGGAGGTGTGTTGGAAGGTCCTGGATGGTTTTGAGGCGTTGCCATTGGCTGAGGGCCGTAGATCAGCCTTCCACGGTGTGGGTACGGTGGCCTCAAATGGGTCTTGGAGAGTGCAGCCACTTGCCGGGTGCTTACTTTCCCAGGCAGCAGATGGAGGAAATGAAGCGCGTGCTCGCACAGAAGGGCTGCAGCGGCAAAGCAGACTAGCCTCCAGCCCTGCGCGCAAAAAACGAAAGCGAGAGAGCGAGAGGGAGAGATAAGCGGTGCACATGTGCCGTGTGCCATTTGGTGCAGGAACCAGAGATGCAGCTACGGGTTGCGGCCATAGGTGTCCTTTTTGGTTGGTTTGCTTACAAAATAGAGGGCCCTGGTTTAGATGGGGTTTATTCCATTTTCTATTTTTCCAAAAGGCCACCGACGGGTTGCGGCTCTATTGCTGCAGGGATCAGAGCACGAGCCCATGGACTCTGCTGCGTTCGTCGGGTTGCTCGGGCTAATGTGGAAGTCCGCAAGAGTCCGTTGCAGCTGAATTGATTGCCGGCGGCATTTCCCAGAGCCCTCCTTGAAGCATTTCGCAGAACCCTGATATATATATATATATAAATATATATATATATATAGTTGTTTTTTGTTCTCGCCCTTGTTTTCATCATTTTTCTCTGGAGGTTCCCTAGTGTCAGAGCATGGTTTTTTGGCAAATCTTGGAAACGTGATCCTTGGTGAGCAATCATCCGGCGGTCCTCCAAAAGACCCACGCGCTGCTTGTTCGTTTTGTCCCGTGCAGGACTTCTGGTTCTCTCCCGTCAGCTTCCTGTGTCATGCGGTCTGGCTGGAGCGCCCTGGCGAGATTGACTGTGAACGTCGGGTTCTCTTTGCGCGCTCTGGGCACCCACCTACCCCCCCCCCCCGCCTTCGTCCGTAGGTCTGTCTGTCAGAGAATGCAACATACGCAAAGAATGGGTGGGTTATCCGGTTGGTTTCCCACAAAAAGACACCAAAAGAGGGGGTCATTTCAGATGAATCCATTGAGATGGTCGACAGGTGGCTTGCTGACGCCGATGTCATGAATGAATTCAATCAGACATCTCTGTGCGCGGGACGGTTTTTCTTTGTCGGTTCCCCACCCCGCCCACCCCCCGCCAAACAAAAAACCGCAAAAAGAGGGGCAGGTGGGTTTTTCTGTTCTGTTGGTTTCCCCCCCTTACCCCCACCCCCACCGCCCCCCCCAAAAAAAACAAAAACAAAACCAAAACGAGAGGGCGCCACCTCGCAAAAACAAAAAACAAAAAACCGGCAGCCCCCTTGCCCCTAGCGAAGGCTTTGGCTGCGCATCGCCTGGCCCAGCGGCGCCGAGGAGAAGCTGGCCCAGCTGCCCCGACGCTTCCGGCAGGCGGGCGGTGTTGGGGGGCGGAGATGGCGGGCGCGGGCGCGGGAGGGGCATTGGGGGGCGGAGATGGGGGCGATGGGGGGGGGCCTGGGGAGATGGGCCGGAAACAAGGGGTTTCTTTCTTTTTTTGTCCCTTCTTTTTTTTCTTTCTCCAAACAACCCTAGAACCCATTTGCCCGGGGAGATGGGCCCTGAACCCCGAAGTACCAAACGCCGAGCACGTTACTTAGAAGGGGCTGGTCGTAGTGGACCCTCCTAAACAAGGGGTTTCATGTGTTTTTTGGCATCCTAGAACCCGTTTATTTGTTCGGGGCAGACTTGGGTCAGGGGCATTTGTTAGGGTCAGATTAGGGGGTTTAGGGGGGGGGGGTTGGGGGTCAGTTTCAATGTGGTGCCCTTGCGGATGTTAGGAGGCAAGGAGAGAAGGAGAGAGTTCCCCTCTTCGGCTCGTGGCGAAACGGTGGCCGAAAGCCCTGGCCCATTGCACACAGGGATCCCAGTCACTGAGGGCCCCGTTTCCCTAATGATGGGAGATGCGGCGCCAAGACAAGAATCGGCCAGCTGGAATTTTCGACTGAGACAGACCGAAGCATGTGCAACTCGCTCTGCCTTTGGACTCTGGACCAACCTTCAAGCACAAGGAGTGTATGGCCGCCGTTCCGCCGCGCATAGTTCAGAGCAAGCCGCTGTCCATGTTATCTGGCAATCAGGCTGGTAGAAGGTTTCCACTTCCTGGCTTTCACCTGCCAAAGAATTGGTTACTGACTTGGCGCCACCTCCTTAGATCTGCAGTTCGAGCTTGCGAAAGCGGAGTTCAGGGTACTTGTCGTGTGGGCCCTGGACAATCCCAGTTCGTTTGTTTCCGTGTATCTTGCTGCAAGTCAAATGTCTCGGACAGGTGCTCTTTTTGGATCCCTTCGGCGACTGCTTCTGGGATCCGAACCAGGCTGAAGTCATTCGCTGGGCGCGAGCGGTGGATTGTTTCCATGCACATGCCTGGCTGAATCGGTGCTCAGTTGGTCGGTCGGTCGGTTGGTGTGGTGGAGGTTGCGTGAATCGTTTGGTTGGTTCGTTGGCACCAACATTGGCTAACTTCTCGGCAAGGCACTGCTTTTTCTCCTATGCATTCTGCGATTCCGCAGCTCTTTGGGGAGTTGCACGGCGAAACCGTGCCACAAGACGGCCACACTTCAGCCCACAGTTCATTGAGCTGGCCTACGTGTCAAATAGCCCGCGCCCTAAAGACGGAATGACGCTATGGCGCCTTTTATTGTCAGCACGGCCACAAGTTGCGGGCTGGTGGGTTGGGAAAACCAGACTTGTCGGGCCAATCCTGCGCTGGCAGATGAAGCACTTCACATCTAAGCAGGGCCTGCGAATCTCGCGATGCCATGTTGGAGCTTTTCGGTCGGAGCTCCGTGTGTGGCTTGGCGCGATGGAGAGAGTTGCGGATCGATGGTCAGGTTGTGGGGTGATCTCGCAGGGGGACGTTAGCATTTGCGCTTTTGCTTCCTTGCCCAGAAGGGAATGAGGAAATATCCCCAATAAACCATTCCCAACGGTTTCCTTTAAGGGAATCGCCAGGTTCATTCCGGACACCCTGGCTCATTCCCTGCCGAGCACCAGCAAGCTCGCATGGATTGAAAGTGGGGCAAAAGGGAACAGCCCACTTGCGAGGGCCCGGAAGACGCATGCCCACTTCAACAGCCGACAGCTTGGTGGTTCGAGACCCAATTCTGCCCAGCACGGCCAGTTTGCATCACAGTATGCCGGTTTGCTCCTTTTGTTGGGGTTCCAGCTGTGCGCAACACGCGTTTGCTACAACAGCAGTTTGCCAGCCGGCCATGTGCCTGGCGCCACAGAGCGGTTTTTTTCGCGGCATTTGGGGCCCGTTCTTGCAGAAACACCGCAGAGCGACTACAGAAGAGTTTTCGAAGAATTCCCTGCCTTTGTGAGAAGGAAAAGCCTGGCCCTGAAAAAGAGAGACACCACGGACCAGCTCCAACCATCATGTCTTTTTGTGTTGACACGCCCAGACAGGGCTTTTGAGAAGGAAAAGGCTTAAAACCCCGCCTTAAAGAGAAAGAGAAAGAGAGAGAAAGAGAAAGAGAGAGAAAGAGACAGAGAGAGAGGCCCAAATGGAACCTGAGAGACACACCCAAATGGGTTACCCGAGTTGTGTGCTTCCGAGGTGGTCAGTGGCGCCACCTTTGGCTGCTTTGGCCCATTCTGCCCTCGGCGTTGCTCTTTGTGGCTGAGCACCTAGCCGAGGGAAGGGGGGGGGGCGGGGGCGGGGGTTTGTCTGCCCACGGGCCGGATCTCGCGGACAGAGAGATACATGGGTGTGGTCCCTATTTGTTGAGGGTTTTGCCTTTTTCGGCTGGTTTCAAAGGGACACGTGTCAAGGACAACCACGATTTTTTTGGGGGAGGGCCCCCCTAGAGAAAGACACCATGTACCTGTCTGCTACTACATATGAACACTCATATTCCCACTTATGACTTTTGATGTAGATGTAGGTAAATGAAGCCGCTGGAAGTGACCAGGGGTACAGGGTTGAGCCTTTGGACATTGTAAATGAGTCAGGCAGCCAACGCCCTTGTGTATGATGCTGCAAGCTATATTCATGCAGATCCTGCGGTGAGGCTTTGACGCAATTTGCCTTGGTTTGGGGCAAGAGGTTTGGGGCAAGAATCCCTGGAACCATCTAGCTTGTTTGTGCGCATTGCATGTGCACATAAGCTTCTGGGAAACACTTGAACACCATCTCACTTCCGTTGTTGCCTCAGAGTCAAACAAGGCACTGTGGGCATACATGACCAACCATTCAACCTCAAGTTTATTCAAGAAAAGTCAGAGCTTGCGTTTGCCACTATCTAATGCAACATACTACTACTAGGGGTGATTGATTAGTCACAATAGCCACTATATAAAGGGTACAGCAACCGACCGACCGACCGACCGACCCCGACTGACCGACCGACCGACCGACCGACCCTCCAACCCCCACACCCCACCCTCCCCCTCCCCACCCACCCTCCAACTCACCCTCCCCACCCACCCCTCCAACCCCAGCCGCCATTCGTCAGGAATGCGCTGCTCTTTACACAGCTGCCCTTCATCAAGGGCTCCTTCTTCGCCCAGCGCCGGCTTTTGGCGGCCGGCCGGGCGGCGGAAGCGGCGGTGAGCTGCGGAGACACGCCCAAGGAGATGCTGTGCAAGGCGCTCGGGGCTTGGGGGTGGTGGAGTTGGTGGGGTGCGTGGGGTGGTGGGGTGGTGGGGTGGTGGGTGGGCGGGCGGGTTGGGTGCGCGCGGGGGAGGATGCTAGTTTTGTGTTTTTTTTGTTTTGGCAGGTGGCCATGGCCGACGCTGCCTACTGGGATGGCCTGCTCGAGGCGGCATCTGGGGTGCGAGGGAGCCCAAGCATTGGCAGCTTATGCACCTTCCATGCCAACTGATTCCGCAAGAGTCGGAAGGGCAATCTGATTCCTCCAGCTATAAAGCGCCCCCTCCCACGCAAAGAAAAAAAGAAAAGAAAGAAACACACACACGACACCCTTGGATGTTGCAATCATTAGTAAGATTTGCCACTTCCAGGCTTTCGGGTGTCTAGTCTCGTGCTTTGGTTCACTGTGGGGCGATTTCATGAGCACCCAAAATGTGTTCCACGATTATGTTAAAAGTATACATGAAGGCAGGAGATCCCCTAATAAGACAGAAATCGCAGATTTTCGAGTTGGGCTGTTCCAATTGTATTGGCCCCTTTCCCCCGGGGTTTTGGACAACCATATTAGAGGGAATGGATTGATTGAAAATTGTTTTTGGCTTTTCATCTTCTTCCACTGCCTTCCTTACCAGAATTTGGTTTCCCCCATCTCTTCTCCTTCCCCCTCCTTCTCCAACAACCCCCCCGCCTTTGTCCCCACCGTCCATCCCCCTTCCGTCCCCCATCCTTCTGCCTATATATTTTATGCCGAGCTGCGGGTCAAACAAGCTCACCATGATCCACTTCTAATTTCTTGTCGGCATTTTGATTAGCTCGCACACTCGAAGGTCGTGTACTGAACGTTCCGGAGACCCGGATTCCTTCGTTCGGCGGTTGTGGTTGCCATTTCACCTCAGATGGCCACGAATCATCATGGGCCATCCACCTAAAAAACTGGTTGGTGCACCACTAAAAACAAATGCTTGGTGGACATGAAAATCAAAATCCCCACCCAAATCATCTCCCGTCAGACGGCTCCACTCTATCGGTAGCCAAATGCCTCGTCATCCAATTAGTGACGCGCACAAATGGCTCAATTGTCCCTATTCTCCAGCGAAACCAGAGCCAAGGGAAGCCATGCAACTCCTACCCACCCGCCACGCTGCCCGAGGGCCTCTCCGGCACGGTGGCCATCTTCACGGGCCTGGCCCTGGGCGTCTGGTCCGACGGCTCCGGCCGGCGCTGGCTGCTGCAGCTCAAGGGCGGCCTCGGGGTGCTCAGCGCCATGCTGCTGCCGCTCGGCCGTCGGGGGCTGCCCCTCCGGCTCACTCGAAGGGCGTCTGTTTTTGAGGGTAGATCTGCATTTGGGGGCCTCTGTTTTTGAGGCTCCGCATTTTTTTGGGATGGCTCAAAGTTCAAGAGCTAGGGCCAACCGCAGGTTTTAGTCTTTGGTTCCGTTTGCCAAGGTGCCATTTTTGTGAGCCACAGCCATTTGGGTGCGTCTTTTTTTGGCAACTGACAGGTCCGCCACTTGTTTTTTGTTTGGGGAGGGGGGTCCCTATTTTACGACATACCCATTTGGGCTAGAACAAATCACCCTTGCCAGCTGATTCAGAAGATCCCCTTGTAAAGCGGGTTCAAGTCACCATCTAGAATCTAGAGGGCATTTCGCGTGAGGGTAGTTTTAGGATTGGTCAAGAGGTTGGGGTCGACTACAGAGTTCGAAAAGACCGGTCAGCCGATGGTCCTGTGCATAGTTTGCAGTAGAGCCAATTGCAACGGGATAGGCATCAAAAAAAACTTATTAGGCATCAAGAACAACTTATTAGGCATCAACCAAAACTTATTAGGCATCAACAAAAAACTTATGCTCATTCCTATGGGGGGAAGGAAGGAAGGAAGGAAGGAAGGAAGGAAGGAAGGAAGGAAGGAAGGAAGGAAGGAAGGAAGGAAGGAAGGAAGGAAGGAAGGAAGGAAGGAAGGAAGGAAGGAAGGAAGGAAGGAAGGAAGGAAGGAAGGAACCCCCCCCCAACCCCCCGCTGATTTTCAGAATGTTTACAGAGATTACCGCACCCTTTGCTGAATCATCACTTCTTCGATCATCATCCCCTTTTCTTGAATCATCACTTCTTTGAACATCATGGGGGGGGGTCTGCAGCCCCCCGCAACCCCGCTGCTGATTTGTAGAATGCTTACAGAGCTTAATGCGCCCTTTGTTGAATCATCGCTTCTTCGAACATCATGGGGGGCTGCCCAACGCGCCCTTTGTTGAATCATCACTTCTTCGATCATCATGGGGGGGCTGCCACCCCCCCAACCCCCCCGTTGATTTTCAGAATGTCACAGAGCTTAACGCTTGTTGAAACATCGCTTCTTCGACCATTCTTCGATCATCATCACCTTTTGTTGAAGCATCACTTCTTCGAACATCATGGGGGGGCCGCTGCCCCCCCCAGCTCCCCTGCTGGTTTGTAGAATGTTGACAGAGATTAACGCACCCCTTGCTGCCGTGCCGGGCACACCAACGCAGCACACTCAAGCATCACAGAAACAAAAACAATGTCCTGATTTTCGGCAACTCTGGCGAAGTTCGGCGCGGTGACAGTTTTTGGATACAAGGGTGCTGCAGTGCTGGAGCACGACGGTCACAACATACAGCCGCCGCAGACAATTCGGTGTCATGACACCGAATTGTCTGATAAGTTCCCGACGCCGAATTTTGCAGGCGCTACCCCGAATTC